TTCAGTATTGAGCTCAAACTCGGGGTTTTTTCTATCTGACCTCTTCTTTAATTTTCAACAAATTTGCATCCTTATCCTAACTAGTTTTAATAAGCTCAAGTAAAGATGTCTAAGTCTGCACATGAGCCAATAATATTCAGATCAGTCTATCCCGAACCGTACACCTTTTCACTCTAGCTCATGCATCTCTTCTATCAGAGGTCGTCTCAACGAAGCTATGTGAGCCAAACCCCCCATGGATTTTCTACTCAAATAGTATGTACATGAATCCAAACTCCTCCCGACCATCATGATTGCATCAATGAGCTAATTTTCTTCAAATTAATCATTTCAAACACTCTGAACACTAGCTGACACTTAGGCATTCTATTACATTGAACCAAAGCATCAATGGCACATGACCAGAGTGCGTAGATAAGTTGAACCAATGCAAACTTTGTACAAACACGTGTCGAGCACGTGCCTGTATTATTTTACATGGGCACGTGCTTAACAAAGGTTCCAACTTGTCCTTATCCTAATAGTCATGTAATGACATGAGAGCTACTAAACTAATAATTTGTTGAGCTTAAATCACTTATTCAAAATACTTAAATCAAAGTTGTTCAGTAGTAATTTTTAGTCTTTTATATTCTATATTATATTACTTTCAAGAATTAATATCAGATGGGATATCACAATTTCCCTCACTTAAAACACTTGGCATTCTCGTTAAGTCACAAATCCATATTCATATCTATACACAACAGATTCAAAGATCGTTTTACTCTGATACCATTTTGTAAAAACCTAAGAGCTACTAAACTACTAACTTATTGAGCCTAAACTACTAACATAAAATACTTAAGACGAAATTATTTAAATAATAGTTTTCTAGTCTCTTATGTATTATATATTATACTACTCTCAAAAATTACCACGAAAAGAATATTACAAGGCAACGAAGAAATAACTAGGTCACATGCTGCCTCAACTAAAAAATTCCCTTTCCCACGTATTTGAAGGCATGCCCATTCAAGGTTAAAATAAAAAATTAAAAAAAACTTGTTGCGGACTGAATTTTCAACTATTAAAATATGTTTAAAAGAAATTTTTAAAAAAATCAATTCTGAAAGAACTAAATTTTAAAAAATTATATTAAAAAGTCGGTTTCGGGGCGAGGAGATCGATTGAAAAAAGTTTGGAGTGCAGAAAAGTTCTTGAAGCATGAAAATTCTTTTGGTAATGGATTAGCCATGTGCTGCGAATCAAAGGTTTCTCAAGATGGCAAACACTTCAAAAATCAAAATATATTAAGGTAAAAATGGCTAAGTAGACTACAACAAAAGTTGGAAAACTAAAAAAGTAATAATTTATAATTTTCCTTATATCTATAAAACATGGACAAAATCGTATATTAAATAACAGACTCTTGCTTATTGTATTATCAAACAGTTCTAAACATTTAATTCTTAAATTTCAATTGATTCAATAAATTTTAATACTAATATCATATTTAATTCCAATTTTATCAAACAAGACCTCACTTGACCTTGGGCTTAGAAAAATTAGTTGTCTTGCGTGTCAGACAAATCAGATATGAACGCGAATTCTGTTCAAACGCTCTTTATTGTCGTTTGCTGTCTTCCCAAAACACAAAACGTTGTTTTAATTTTTTTGTCATTAGATTATAAATGATATATCCTCTTGGATTGAGGGAAATAAAAAGAAAGAAAATTATCAAAATATGAAAATCTTACCTTACCGTAACCCTGTTCAAATAAATATAATGGAAGGGATTGATTTTTTTTTTCAAAGATGAAGTAGTTTAATATTTTTATTAGGGATAGTGCCGCGGGATGGTTATTATCTTCTCTTAAGATACACCTATTATTAGAATGCATAGTATCCCTTTTATTATAATCTAATATCCCTCGTTTATCCTTTCTGATTTAGGATTTGTGAAACTCTCGTCTATATCAATCCTTGATATTTTTGTCGAATGTACGGCCTCCCACTATCCTATTTACCTCTATGAAGGACAGATGTACTTGCATGTGAGATATAATACTATTAGACTAATCTCTCGAAATCGATTATAATATCATTTATCACAAAATTATTATATTTTTTTTAAAAAATACATTTATTAGGGTGCGCAGTTTTTCTTTGTAACCTAATAATTCTCTTCATCCTATCCGACGTGAAATCTGTAATAAATAAGGCATAGTGGACGTATATAGAAATATTAGAAACATGAACTACAGTCAAATATCTAGAGAGCAAGAATGTTAGAAAATTATTTTGATACGTACTTGTCATAATTGTTTTTTCTTAAAGAATATTGCATTGTTACGTAATAAACTATTGCCACTTTCATTATTTTTTATGATCTGCTGTTTCTAAAACCATTGGTATGAATTAAGGGCAAAATTGTCTATCAAATCTTAGACTTTTGTTCAAGGAAAACTACATAAAATATTTAGTTCTTAAATTTCATTCGTTTTCTATAAATTTTCTTTACACTTAAAAATAGCTACCTAAATATTTTGAGTCTTATTTTTTTAAATACTAAAGATTTCATATATAATTTCAAAATTATAAAATAAGGCCTTAATTGATATGCAAGAAAAAAGTGGGTTGGAAAATTAATCCACGTCTTCTATGTTTGATAAATCAGATCAGGAAAGTAAATTATATTCAATCACCATTGGTATTTGATATTGTTCTACTTTTTTCGTTAAAATGAAAATGAAGTTGATGATTTTTAAGATTAAAAAAAAAGGAAATAAAATTTGTGGTTGTAAATGATATTTTCCCGAATTAAGGAGGTTAATGAAAGGAAAAAAATTTTTAAAATATTTAAAAAATAGAACTTTACCAAATTCGTAATCTGATTTAAATAAATAAATAAAACTTAAAAAACTAAAACTAACACGTTTAACTCCTGAGCTGAGCTGAGCTGGCAGAGCCTATTTCCACCCAACACGAAAGACACGACTTAAATTTCTAACATACGTTTGTTGCATATCAATTAAGGCCTTATTTGATAAATTTGAAATTGCGCATGGAATCTTTAGTACCAAGAAAGCAAGGACTAAAATATTTAAGTGTAAAGAAAATTTATAGAAAAGAATTAAACATTTTGGACTTTTTGATAATGCTATGAAAAATGCTAAGATTTAATAGACAATCTTGCCCTTAATTCATGACAATGCTTTTAGAAACAACAGATGGTAAAAATGATAAAATTGGTAAAATAGTTTTTTACCTTGTAACAATAAAAAAGGGAAAAAAAAAAAAAAACAATGCGATAATTCTTTATGAAACAACAATTATACGAGTAGCTATCAAAATAGTGTCCTAACATTTCTTGTACTCAAGCCATATTTTGACCATATTAACGTTTCATACTTCTCTGAATATGTCGGCCATGTCCTATCCGTCATAGAACAATAAACTATTTCATCTTTTTTATTTAGGAATTAATTTTTTTAGACTGTTTGGTAAATACGATAAACAGAAGTCTGAGATTTAAAAGACAATTTTGCCCATGCATTAGCGATGGTTTTAGGACAACAAAACAAATTTAAAGAAAATTATAAATTATTATTTTATTGGTTTAATAACGTTTATTGCAGTCTACTCAGCCATATTTCACCTTAATTTGTTTTTATTTTTGACTTGTTTGCCATCTCGAAAACTTTCGGTCCGTGGCATGTGGCTAATCCATTATCCGAAGAAATTTCGAAGCTTCGGGTACTTTTCTGCGGGGTGTTTAATAAATCAAATTAAATTGGTTAAATTGTATAAATTAAATCAAATCGTATGAAATTAAACTAAATTATAGAGTGTGGTTTGGTTTAAATTTGATATTTGGACAAATCGTATAAATCGAATCAAATCATATAATTTATATATATACAAAATTAAAAATCTTATCTTTATATATATATTATATTTTTATTAATTGACTGCATATTTTTTCTTTTTGTTATCTTTTATATTTATATTTATTTTAATAATTAATTATTTTTTTTAGAGTGTAATTTCTATTAGTAATAGTAAAATTCTGTAAAATGGTATAAATATATTTATTATAAAATATATAATTACTATAATTAATTAATAAATAATAAATTTATTAAGTTAAATATGTTGAAGAAAAAATAGATAGTCAATTTCTAAGAAAATTTTGTTAAAATTTTTTATAAAAATATTAAATTAAATTTATTTTATTTTATAAATTATAAATAATGATTTGAAATTGAAGTAAATTATAAATTATAATTTAATTTAATTTATAAAAATCTTAAATCGTAAAGTATTATTTAATTTAAATGTAAGAATCAAATCTAATTAAACTGAACCGTGAACATTGCTGCTTTTCTGCGCCCGAGTCCCATTCATATTAAATAAATACCGATCGATAGCAGAAAGCTGGCCACATCAATGACGATAGAGTTCAAATGACTTAGCATTTACGTAAGCACTCACGACAACCCAGTCTATATATTGTTAGTTTGATGTTGGGGCTACCCAGTGGGGCAGCACTCCAATAATTATTTTATTTTTATTTTTTTATTTTTTTATTTCACTTTTAATTAAATAAAAAAAATTTATAGATATAATATTAAATATCAAATTATTTTATAAACAATCAAATTATTTTTTTTACTTTTAAATTTAAAAATAAAACACAAAAAACTAATTTTTTGTTTAAAAATTTAAAAATAAAACACAAAAAATTCAAAAATTAAAAAATTTAACATTAACATACACAATCAAAATAAATATTAATATTAATAAATTTATCTAAGTAGTTAATTTTTATTTAATTAAATAAATATGAAATAAAAAATAAAAAAATTAACAAAATAGACACATATCACGTTGTTGATGGTGCTACCTCACTGGAATAGTACCCAGCATCAAACCAACCCTATACAGCAATATATCTTAATACCGATCTCTAACACAATTTCAACTCAATATTTCTTCTACCGATCCGACCACCTGACATGGAAATCACTCTCCTATACACGTTTCTCTCTGTTCTCTTCCTGGCCGCCGCTTTCAAGTTTCTTTCAGTGGCTAGATCTCAGCGCCGTAAAAACCTCCCTCCCAGCCCACCAGCTTTGCCGTTCATCGGTCACTTGCACCTCGTGAAGCACCCCCGTCCACAGATCCCTCCATGGGCTCGCCCAAAACTCGGTCCGGTGTTCTCGCTCCGGTTTGGCTCGCGCCCCGTCGTCGTTGTGTCCTCCCCTCTATTGCGGAGGAGTGTTTTCACCAAAGAACGACATAGTCCTGGCCAACCGCCCCAAGCTCATCATTGCCAAGTATTTCGGCTACAACCACACTACCGTAGCAGTCTCCCCCTACGGTGATCATTGGCGCAACCTCCGCCGAACTCATGGCCATTGAGATTTTCCCGACGAGCCGGCTTAACGCTTTCCTTTCGTTCCGGCGTGACGAGATCAGGTTCTTGCTCCGGAGCCTTAACGCAATCTCCTCTAATGGATTCGCCCGAGTGGAGCTGAAGTCCAAGCTCAATGAGCTCACTTTCAACAACATCATGAGAATGATAGCCGGGAAGAGATACTACGGCGACGAACTGTAGAACGCTGAGGAGGCCAAGGTGTTTGAAAGCTAGTGACTCAGGTGTTTGCCTTTGGCGACGCGTTCAAACCCCAATGATTTCTTGCCGGTTCTGCAGTGGTTCGATTATAAGAATTTTGAGAAGAATGTGGGGAGAATTCACAAGAAGATAGATGGGTTCTTGCAGGGCTTAATTGATGAACACCAGAGGGATAAAAAACTCCATGATCGATCATTTGCTTTCTTTGCAAGAATCACAACCGGAGTATTACACTGATCAAATCATCAGGGGGCTCATTATGGTAACTTGTTTAACTATTTATTGAAAACTAATCTCTACTTAACACTCATATTTCAAAAATAATTAAGTTTTGTGATTTAAATATGTATCATGATATTAGCGGGAACTGGCACGTCAGCCGTGACGATGGAGTGGGCAATGTCCCTCCTTGTGAACCACCCAGAGGTGCTGAAAAAGGCAAGAGAGGAAATAGATTCCCATGTGGGCCAAGACCGTCTAGTTGATGAACTTGATCTCTCCAATCTCCACTACCTTCACGCAATCATCTCCAAGACCTTCCGATTATTTCCCGCAGCACCATTGTTGGTGCCACATATGCCATTAGAAGACTACACGATCGGGGGATACTACGTGCCACGTGGTAGCATCTTGTTGGTCAATGCATGGTCAATTCACAGGGACCCTGAGGTTTGGATGGACGACCCCACTAGTTTTAAGCCTGAGAGGTTTGAAGGAAGGAAGGTGAAGGGCACAAGTTAATGCCATTTGGAATGGGAAGGAGGGCCTGTCCAGGGGCTGGACTGGCGCAGCGTATTGTGGGCTTTGGCCTGGCATCATTAATCCAGTGTTTCGAGTGGGAGAGGGGCAGTGAAAAACCCGTTGATCTCAGAGAAGGAAAAGGAACAACCATGCCCAAGCTTGAGCCACTGGAAGTCATGTGCAAGGCACGCCCCATAATGAAACAAGGTTATAGTTTAAGCAAAAACAGTGCCCGAGGTATACATAGTGCATTGTATATTTTCTACTTCCTATTAGATTTTTCTGTCTCAAATCTATCTTCCTTGAATCAATCAATAAAACTAGAAATTTACTTACGACCGCTCCGACTTGTGATTCTACTGTGAGTATACAACTGCTGATTGCCCACCAGAAACAAAACCAATGCACAGGTACCACCGGAAGCAGGACTACTAACGCATGCGTAAGGACAATCGTCTTTACTTGAGCTCACCATGGCTCCTGACCTTAAAACCCGATGAGTATTAGAGATCCTTTTTTCAGTCTAACAGAAATCTTGTGTTAACCCATCAGGGAAACCCACTATGGACCTTCGGCCGAAGAGGCCTGGAAAGTTTTCTTTGGGTTGAGAGGATTATATTCCACACTAAAGAGACAAAAGATCACCATAAATTGAGACAAAATATAGCTGTAATATGAATTTGGAATCCTTAAAGTGTTTGATGATCAGACAATAAAAATAGAATAAGACATCCCTAATATCTAAAAAAAAAAGACAATAAACTGGTCAAATTGCAACAACCTTATATCATCAGCAAATACAGGATGATCCCAGATTAGTGTAAAATAATAATGCTTTATAAACAGCCAATAACTTCTGTACATGTGGGAGAGTTTGGTCACGCTTTACTCAGGGTTTGATTGGAGGGTTTTAAATATCCCATATGGAAATTAAAGAAGAAGAAGAAGAAGAAGAAGAAAATTTTTCTTAAATCCCTGTAAAGTGAGCTTCTCATGGAATTGTTTCTTAAATGTCTGTGTTTTCTAGAAATAAAAAAAAAATCTGAAAAATAATTAAAATATTTCCTATTTAAAAAGTTAATTCTTTTCATTAATCAAACTAAAATACAAAAGTTAACCAACCAAATGGAGAACACAGCCTGCTAGTGTGGCTGGACATCATTGCCAACTACCATTCTGTCGTATTGGTTATCACGTTGTTTTCGTAGTTTCAACTCTTCTGGATGCAAAAATATGACGAGTTGAATTTTATTTTCTATTTGAATAAAGTTATACAATTTGTTTTGAAATTAATAATTCATAAGTACTTGTTTGGTAATTTTTTTTCTGAAGAGAAATTATTACAATGTACTCTTGCATTTTGTTTCTTAGTATTTGCTAGCAAGAACTCCATGATCGATCATTCACTTACTTGTGAGAAATCGAAGCCCGAGGATTACACTGATCAAATTATCAGAGGGATCATCAAGGTAAATTAAGTGTTTGTTAAACAATAATATCTAGTAACTATTTCTATCATATGTGAAATTACTTAATCTATGTGATTTAAATGTGTAGGAACTGACACGTCAACAGTAATGTCCTCCATCGTGAACACCCCTGAGGTATCGAAAAAGGATAAAAAGGAAATAGATTCTCTTGCGGACCAAGAAGCATCTAGTCGAACATGATCTATCCAATTTCTACTGCCTTCAAGCAATCGTCTACGAGAACTTCCCATTGCTCTCCCACTGACATTATTGCCGCCGCATATGTCGTCAAACAATTGCAAAATTGGGGGATTTAACGTGCCAGATGGCATCACGTTATTAGTTAATGCGTAGGCCACTCACATTGACCCTAAGTTTTGGGAAGACGCCGGCACCTTTTTGCTCGAGAGGGTTTGAACACTGCAAGAAAACATTAGGGCTTGTTTGGTTTGCGAAAATGTTTTCCCTTTTTATTTTTTATTTTTATTTTTTGAAAAGAGTTTTTATTTTTGAATTTCTAAATTTAGAAACGTGTTTGGTTTGATTTGTCAATTTCTGTTTTCCAAAAATGAAAATAAAAAATATATATATTTGGTTAACCTATTTTCAATAAATTGAAAAGAAGGATTTAATTGAATAAAATTAAAACTTGAAGAGTTTAGGGATCACATTGAACAATAGAGGAAAGATAAGGGACCAAAAGAGAATTTTACAAAATGCTACAATCTTGTTTCCTACTTCCAGCCAAGTCGCAACTGGGTTTATTGGACTCGGTCACGACCCGAACTCATTGCCAAATTTGGCCAAATCTAGCGTCAAGTAACATTTCATCGCAAGATTTGGCGACTCTAACGAGTGACTATCAGCTAAGTTGTAGCAATCAAACGGGAGTTTTGGTCAGCAGAGTGAGTCCTGATCATTGAGATTCTTGGATTGAATGAGGAAGCTGATCTTCGAGAGAGAGGCGAAAACGAGGACGAACATCGAAATGAGGGGCAGAGACGAGAGAGAAATGGCTAGAGCAGACACAATCGACGAGTACTAGGATTCAATCTGGCAAGTACCAAGGTTCATACCACAACCATTGCTTCCTCTGCTATTCGGGGTTCACAATGTGACCATTGCACCCTTTGCCATTTCAACTTCCTTGCAAGCGTTGAGGGAGGAGCATAGTAGCAACACAATGATTGATATGAAAAAGATATTAAAAATGAATGAAATTACATCCTTGCCATCACGTTTTCTACTTCTCAATGGAAACGGAGAAAACAACTTTTTGTTTTTTTCTTGTTTTAACCAAATTTTCAAAATGTTTTCTAATTTTGAAAATGGAAACACTGTACCAAATGTATTTTCAAGTCTACTTATTGTTTTTATTGGAAATGAAAATAGAAAATAGACGAACCAAAACAACCCCTTAATTTTTTCACAAAATTTCTCACAAGACAAAATTTTGTATGGATTTTTTGTCAGAAAGCCTGTTGAAAAATTCAAGGAAGAGAACTTTTCCGACAAATAATTTGTCAGAAAAGTGGTACCATTAAGTGAAAAAGTGACGAAAAAATTGGCAATAAGGTATTTTCCTATGGACAATATTTGTCAAAAAAATAAAATAAAAATTTTAAAATTAAAATTAATTGTCCAACGGACACCATCTATCAAAAATTAAAAAATATATTTAATTTACATTAGATAAATTTTTTTGAAAGATTATGTCATTGAAAAATAAAACTAAAAAATTATTTTTTAAAAAACATTTTTGGCAGAAAGGATTCGTGGGAAATTAAAAATATATTTTTAAAAAATAAAATTTCTCAATGGATGCCAAAGTAAAATAATTTTTAATTAAAAAGAGGGTTATTTTAAATATTTGTAAAAATAGGAAAAAAAGTATTTCCAATGGAACAGTGTCAGTCAAAAAACAAAAATTACTGTCAGAAAATTAGGTCTTTGAAATTTTTGCTGAATTTTCCGGGGGCTTTCCAATGGTCTTGACCATCAAAAACCTACCTTTTGATCAACAAAAATCTCCCTCATTCCCCATCTCTCTCTTCCATTGCTCCACAAAAAGTGCAGCGAAAAGGGCAAGTTTATATTAATATTAATAAATTTTTTTACCAAAATAAGTGTTTGAAACATTATTTATCAAAATTATTTCTATTTAGAAATTGAGTCCTGAGAGCCTGATTTCTTTTTTGAAATCAAGTCTTGAGAAGTTGATTTTTAAGTTGGGTCTGCAATTACAGACAAGGCACAAGCTACAACCAAAGAGGGAGAAGGAAGGAGCTATACGATCATCATCCTCCAATGGAGTTGGTCTATACCAGCATCTGTTCGTGCAGAGCTCCACATAAAAGCTCCATGCCTCAAGCTAGAGCTCCATGCTTGATAGAGCTAGGCAAACAGAGCTGAGCTCTGTTTGACGGGCTCGCATAGCTTCTCTCAGCCTCTTCCTTCTTCCTTCCTCCACCCCTTTGTTCTCCCTCCCTCTTCTTCTTTTTTCTCTTCCTCGTTCCTTCTCCCTCCTCTTTCTTTCCTTCCTTTTCCCTCTCCTTTGCAGCCATAACTAGTGCCAAATTTACAATTACAAACCCAACCCAAAAATCAAGTTTTCAGAAATCAGGTTTTTAGGCCATGATTTACCAACTAGAATAGTAATATACTTATTTTGTAAATAACATCTCCAACTCCTATTTTGGTTAAAATAATAATAATAATCAATATAAATATAAATTTGCCTAGCAAAAAATGTACTAGAGCCAAATCTGGACCCGAGAAGCCTTGCACGGGCTGAAAAGGAAAGAAAATGGCTAGACAAACCCCTCCAACCTCACGCAAGAATTCTCTAACCCCAGCTAAAATCCACCACACAGATCTTCCGTATTAATTGCACGCAACCCATCTCTGGCAACCTCCACATGTCAACAAGCTCCACTACTTTATAAGAGACTTGAAGTCAACGTCCCATCTTTCCGCTCTCTCTGTTTGTCCCTCTTTCCTGTTCTACTTTCCTTTGTGAGCCGGGAGGATGTTGGGATCTTTTTTAAATTATATTTTTATTTTTTACTTAGAATAAGTTTAGATTTATTAAAAATATAAAAGTTAATTTTTCAGATTTATCTCAAATGGAATACTTTATTCTTTAAAAAAATTTTAATCTTTAGAAGCCTTCCTCCCTTTAAGACTTATCTATATAAAATGAAAAATATTTTACATTGAAATGAAAGAAAATTATCTTTAAAAATTCAAAAATAATTCAAGATTAAGCAAACCTTTCAACTAATTCCAACTATATTTGAGAAGATAATTGAGCATAAGAAGAATTCTCATTCAACTTTGAACATTCACGCAGTTGCCTACCTATCAAATATCAATATATTTGTAATATTCAGCAACCTCAAAATCAAATGACACGATAAAAAATTTAGTTTTGTGCTACGGGTTATTATTGGGATTAGATAGGGTTCTCAAAATCTAATTATATTAATTAGGAAGGAGCTTCTAGATTTGTTTTAGCCGCCACCTAGGCAACATCCAACATTTTGTGCAGTCAAAGCCTCCTAATCATTCGGTTGGGATTTTCAGCGTTGGCGTCCAATCGTCCTGCTCATGCCAAGTACAGAGACAAAGAAAGAACAAATTGGTCACGTACTCTAGCAACGTGCTTCTCCACAACCCTCATTATCGTCCTCATCCTCGATATGTCGCCTCCCCTAATTGGGCTCGCACTCAAATCAACTAGGATTTCCTTCACCAGGTCTCTAATCAACTGAAGAAAGAACAGATTGGCCAAGTGCCTACACGATGTGCTTTTCCACCACCCTCGTTTCTGTCCTCATCTTCAGCAAGTCGCCTCCCCAATTTGGCCTCTTGCTCAATGGGATTTCCTATGTTGAGGCTTTGATCAACGAAAGAAAGAACAAATCGGCCAAGCGCAGAGATGATGTGCTTCTCCACCACCCTCGCTGCCGTCCTCATCCTCAACGTCACCTCCCTTGCTTGGGCTCTCGCTTGAACTAGGGATTTCATGTGTTGGGCCTCCAATCTTCTACCAGTGATGCAAGCAGCAGCGTCTTCTCCGTCTTCAATCGAGCACAAAGACAGAAATAACAAAGAAAGATTTCATACTTAAATAGGGGTAATTTTGAAATCAACAAAAATTTTGAGGTTAAAAATGTCACAAATCAACTTTTATTTATTTACAATAATGTCATTGAAGGTAAACTACCCTCTCCCTCCAATTTCAAGATTCAACTTTTGATTTTATCAGTTTAATTCAAGAGAAGTTCAAATTTTTATCAGTTTAATTTAAGAGAAGTACAAATCATTGAAAAAAAATGCAAACAAATGAAGAGTGGTTTTAAGCCTTAAGTGTGAATCCCATTTTAAAAGTTAAAGCAAACACTACCTAAATCCTTAATATCTATTTAAACTACCACAACAAAAACACTGGAATTGGATTAGATTTTATCAACATCAAGTTTTTTCTTTTTACTCGCATTCCACTTGAAGGCATTTCATTGCATGAGGGAAAACTTGATATAATAGAATGAATTTATTTTTCCCTAAGCTTGCAAAGGCCGTTGCAGTTTAATAAGAATGAATGAAAAGTATAAATTTCTTTTTTATTTTTTGTAAAAAAATTATTTTTTATTTTTATTTTTTAAAAAAACTGCAGCTAAACATATTTAATGAATTTTCATTTTTTAATTTTACAAAATTGTTATAAATAAAATTTTTTATGAGTTATTGAGCAAACCTTGTGGTATTATTTTACTAAAAAATATGTGTTACAATTTTTTTATTTTTAATTATTATATGTGTAGCATGCACAAATATTTTTAATAGAATCTATTCCATATAATATATTAACATGATTAAGTAAACCAATCAGTATTCACCTTAAATGTCGTATCTTAATTTTCAATGTTAAATGATCCTGAAAAAATAAAATAATATAAAATAAAAATTTTTATAATGCCCATTATAATTTTAAAATATATATTTTAAATATTTTTAAACCTTGAATAAAAGATTCAAAATCCCCTTTGAGATTTTCAATTTTTTTTATTCTTTTTAAAAAAAGAATTGGGTTTTTAGGTGTTTGACATATTATAATTTGTTAAATTTTAAATTTTTTATTTTAAAGAAATTCAGAGAATATTTTAGGTCTTTAACATTATAGATTTAGATTTAGATTTTAAAATTTAAAATTTATTTAGAGTTATTTTTAGCTAAGAAATATCTTTAAACTCTAAAATGTCC